CGACTTTCCCCCTGACTTTTCCTCTTCTCCCTCCTTTCCCTCCTCTATGTTTTCCTCTCCACTGCTCGTCCTTCCCCTCTCTCCCCCTCCTCCCTCTCCTCCTCCTCCATCTCTTTCTCCCTCCCTGCCCTCCCTACCCTCCCCACCCTCCCTCCTTTTCGGCTTTCACCTCCCTGTATCTTCCTGCTGTTACTTTTCCTCCTCCTCCTCCCCCTCGTTCCTGCTGTCCTCGTCGTTCTTCCTCCATTCTCCCACTCCTCGTCCTCCATCCGCGATGCTTCCCTGCGTCCTCCCCCCCCCCCACCCTTCCTTAAAGGGCGTGCTTAGCAAGTAAAAGCAGCATAGGCTGCTTGATCCTCGCCGTCCTCGTCATCCTCGTGTTCCTCTTCCACTTCCTCGTCGTCACCCTCCCCCTCCTCTTCCTCGTCCTTCTCCCACTCCATCCCCCCGCCCTCCTCTCTCTCTCTCTCTCTCAATATATGGAGGGAGAATAAAAAAATAAACAAACATCTCTCTCTCTCTCTCTCTCTCTCTCTCTCTCTCTCTCTCTCTCTCTCTCTCTCTCTCTCACACACACACACACACACACACACGATCGATGTATAGAGGCGGAAGAAAAAAGAAAAAAACGAAAACAGATCACCCTCTCTCTCTCTCTCTCTCTCTCTCTCTCTCTCTCTCCAAGGAATCGTCTTTGCCGCGCAGAGAGAAGATAGCGGGCAGGGCGGGTGGGACCGGGCGGAGGTGGGCGGAGGTAGAGGACGGTAGGAGTTGGATCAGGGTGGGCCGCTAGCCAAGGGGAGGTGGGCAGAGGAGAAGTGGCGAGGCGGAAAGGAGATGGCGGGAGGAGGCGGAGAGGAGAGCGGGCCAAGGCCGACCGGTGGGTGGAGGCATAGGGTGGAGGCCGAGGGGAGGTGGACAGAGGTACCGGGCGGGGGCCTTGCGGAGGTGGGTGGAGGTAGCGGGCGGAAGAGGTGTGCAGAGGCGAACAGGAGGTCAGCGGAGGCCAAGGGGAGGTTGGCGCGCACAGCAGGATGTGCAGCGGGATGTCGGGAGGCAGCGGACGCAAGGTGGGCGGAGGGCAAGGGGAGATGGGAGATCCCAACGGCGGAAGGGAGGGTTGGCGCGCACAGCGAGATGTGCAGCGGGATGGCGGGAAGAGGCAGACACGAGGTTGGGGGAAGGCAAGGGGAGATTGGCGATCCCAATGGCGGAAGGGAGGTGGCGGAGGCTGACAGGAGGTCGTCAGAGGCGGTCAGGAGGTCGCCGGAAGCCGAGGCAGGTGGGCACGCACTGTGAAAAAAAAAAAAAAAAAGAAGGGCGGGCAATGGGATGTCCAGCAGGATGGCGGATGTGCGGGCAGAGGAACGGAGCCCAGAGCAGAGGTGAGCGGAGGCGGAGGAGAAGTGGCAGAGGAGAAGTGGCGGAGGCCGCGCGGAAAGAGAGAGAGGACATGGCCAGAGGAGGCGGATGGAGGCTGAGGGGAGATGGGAGATCCCTATGGCGGAAGGGAGGTGGCGGAGGCTGACAGGAGGTCGTCAGAGGCGGTCAGGAGGTCATCGGAGGCCGAGGGGAGGTGGGCGCGCACTGATAAAAAAAAAAAGAAAAAAAAAGGGCGGGCAATGGGATGTCCAGCAGGATGGCGGATGTTCGGGCAGAGGAACGGAGCCCAGAGCAGAGGTGAGCGGAAGCAGAGAAGTGGCGGAGGCCGCGCGGAAAGAGAGAGAGGACATGGCCAGAGGAGGCCGACGGGAGGCGGATGGAGGCTGAGTGGAGATTGGCGATCCCAATGGTGGGAGGGAGGTGGGCAGAAGCGGACGGAAGGTTGGCACTGGCCGAGGGGAGGTGGGAACGCACCATTCTTTTTTGTTGTTCTTTTAAAAGGCAGGCAGAGGGATGGCGGATGTGCGGGCAGCGGAACGGAGGTGGAGAGGAGATGGGAGGCGTACGGGAGGTGGCAGAGGTGGAGAGGAGATGGCTAGAGGAGGCGGACAGGAGGTGGCGGAGGTGGACAGGAGATGGCGGGAGGAGGCGGACGGGAGGAGGCGGACGGGAGGTGGCAGAGGCGGAGAGGAGATGCGGGAGGAGATAACCGGTGGAGGCGAACGGGAGGTGGCGGAGGAGGAGAGGAGATGGCGGGGGGATGCCGACGGAGGTGGGCAGAGACGGAGGGGAGGTGGTCCGAGGTGGGCGAAGGTGGGCGGAGGCCGAGCGGAGGTGGTCGAAAGTCGAACGAAGGTGGGCGGAGGCCGAGGCCAGAGGCGATGGCGCAGGGCGCGATCTCACTCTCTCTCTCTCTCTCTCACACACACACACACACACACACACACACCAGGGATAAGGAGGCGGAGGCAGAGAGGAGTTGGCGGGAGGAGATCACGAGAGGAGATGGCGGGAGGAGGCAAACGGTAGGTGGTGGAGGCAGGGGAGAAAAGAGAAAGCGGATCTGGCGGGTGGAGGCCAAGCGGAGGTGGGCAGAGGCCGAGCGGAGGTGGGCAGAAGCCGAGGCCGGAGGCGGTGGCGCAGGCCGCTCCCTCTCTCTCTCTCTCTCACACACACACACACACACGCGCGCGCGGGATAAGGAGGCGGATGCGGAGAGGAGTTGGCGGGAAGAGATGGAGGGAGGAGGCGAACGGGAGGTGGCGGAGACGGAGGAGAAGTGGAGATGGGGGAGGAAAGAGAGAGGAGATGGTGGGGGGAAGCAAAGGGGAGGTGGACAGAGACAGAGGGGAGGTGGGCAAAGACGGAGGGGAGGTGGGCAGAGACGGAGGGGAGGTGGGCAGAGACAGAGGGGAGGTGGGCAGAGACAGAGTCACCTCGGAGTACAGCCTTGCAAGACACGGGTCGAGGGCACGAAGTTAGAGGCCGTTCGACGCCATAGCGTCGCCGACCCTGCAACGGGCCAATGGCCAGCAGGTGTCGGGGCAGTTCTTTTACGACGGGCCCTCTTTTCAACGGCCACGGCGATCCAAGCTGCCCGAGGTCCTACCGGCCCGATGGCTCCAATCGTCCTGCGATCTTAAGACTTTAAGATCGCGCGACGATCCAAGCCGTCCGGCGAGGCCAACGGTCTGGATCACCGCGCGATCTCAAAGTCTTAAGATCGTGCGAAAATCCGGGCCGTCGGCCGGTAGGCCGCGGGCGGCCCGGATCGGCCAAATGTTGCACACCAAATAGCGATTTCTATAAGTGCAGGGAAGTCCATCAATTTGAAATCATTGAAGTACATGATCCCTCATTTCCACTTGCAAAGTCTCCAAGTCAAGAGTATCCAAACGAGAAAAGGGAGGGAGAAGGAAAGACAGATGGAGGGAAAAGAATACCGTATCACGCAAGTCCCTATTCTCCTCCAGGCTTCCCATCTCTGCAACGTCAGCACTTGCACACAATATGACACGTGGATGATGTAAACGCAGCCCCTCAGAGATAAGTGATCCTCCAGCAGTGAGCAGAATCAACAGCAACATCATAGGTGAGACTAGGTACGCACACACGACATCGCACCCTACCCACACTCTCTCTCTCCTCACTGCCTGGTCCCATCGTCCTCCCCTCAAGTCTCACGTGCAGCATTGAAGCCGCAAGCAACTCGCAAGACTGAATATCCAAGCAGTGCCGAGGTGAACTCGATATAGTGTTGACTCGCGTTGTCCAGGGTCAACTTCTATCTATGTGAGGCCCTGGACCGTCCGAACGTCGACAGCTCAGATGCAACTGTCCCAGATTCGGTTTGGACTCCTTGAGGTCACATTCCAGATCGACGGCCAGGAAATCTTGTGTTGACTTCTTGGATCTGGGCCTAGGTCCACGAATTGATTGTTGACATTTCGATCAACTATCGGTCTAGGCCTCTTCCTAAGGCCTCTGTGACCTTGTTTTCAGGCCTGCACGTTCGCGCTTGTTTTTGTGGCGCTACGGGCGTGATTGGAGCCCAAAAACTCAATTTTGCGTACGGGTTATAGCATTCCATCCTGCCTGATTTCGAGTTCCACTGCTCTCATATGCAAAGATGATACCAGGAGCGGTAGGTAAGAGTTCTCTTCTACTAAACCACCGAGGTTCGGACGATGGTTGGTTAGAAAACTTTACCTTCTATTGCTTTTGAGGTCTTCCTCTACCACATGTGGAGAAGAACCCGTGTTCAATTATCCTCTCTACCTGGTACCTCCCATTTATTGAAGGAGGAAATGAATATGGTCTACTTGGAAATTTATGTCCTTCAGGGTATGGTAGCAACTTAAAGGCGTGGAAGACTGGGTAAGTCCTTAGCTGAGGGGGTATATCAATTCAGTAGGAAGGCCCATCGGTACCGCCTATCACTTTGAGAACTTCCCAGGGTCCATAATAGACAAGTAGCAGTTTCTGCGAGACATTTTCTTCAAGTGAGAATTCATTGGATTTAACCCATACCAAATCTCCCTCTTTGAACTGTGCAAGCCTTCGGTGCTTGCTTGCCTGTTCAATCATTTATTGTTGAGCTTTCCTTATGTTCTCTTTCACCTTATCAATGTCTTGTTCATACAGAACTGCAAATTCTCGGGTTCCCGGGGGCAGCCTTTGGATTTGATCTCTCGTTAGAGAGTCAATCGGTCTCAGAGGTTGCCAACCTTTGTGCAGTGCATAGGGTGTTCGCCCTGCAACAGTATGTATATTGTTGTTATATGCACTTGCAATCCTCGGTAGATTCTCATCCCAATCAACTTGGTCGGGATGCACCAACTTGTTCATTTGTTCAGTTCGACCATTGGTCTCAGAATGTCGACTTGATGACACAATCAACCTGATGTCATAGACTTCCATCAATTTTTGCCACTGCTCCCCAGTGAATCTCGCATCTCTACCAGACACAATGATTGTAGGGAATCCATACTCGAAAACTTTCAAATGACAAGTTTTGTTCTTGCTTTAGCAGGCAAGGGTACAAACATTGCGTACTTGGAGAATCGGTGCACGATTTACTATTACTTGACTATTTCCATTTCGACTCTTAATTAGGCTCATGAAGTCGATGGAAATGGACCTGGTCTTTCAAGAATCGATAGTGGTCTCAATTGTCCCAAGGGAGTCTCGTGGGATGGCTTGTTGTGCTGGCACACAAGGCAAGTTCTCACATACGTTAGGGTGTCATTCTTCATTCCTCGTCAAACAAAGTGTTCGCGGACATTGACAAAAGTATTTTTAAACCCGAAGTGTCCCTCAATGTCCTCGCGACGGACTCTCCAAGAATTAAACTCCTTGTAAGTTCATCATGGGGAACATAAATTCTTTGTTCATTTCCATCAATGGAGAAAATTATTTTGTTTGCCATTCAACAATCAGGGAAATGCTCAAGATTGGATTTTAGATTATTTATAATAGGTTGCCGAATTGGGTCACTAGCATATCCTTTTCGAATCTTATCGTTCAGATCGTTTCCTATGTCTAGATAGGTGACAATTGTTCCAAAGAAGTCACTTTTGCATGAGACAGCATCAACTACTACGTTGTACTTACCCTTTATACTTTTCTACTCAAAGTACCGATAATAGTCGGTTGGTTGGCAAGCTTGTCAGTAAGATGAGGTTGTCTTGAGCCACTTCAAAGTCTCGTGGTCTGAATAAATTTTGAAGCGTCTACCTAAGAGGTGTTGTTTCCATGTCAATAGAGCTTGCAATAGCGCAAATACTTTTGTCTCCTAGGTTGCGTTTGCTACCTTGTCCGAAAGGAGTCGACAGGACATTTAACTCAATTGGCCTATAACCCTTCCCATCATTTTGTTGCAGTAGAGCCCCAATCCCGTACTGACTTCCGTCAATAGTCACAACAAAAGGGAAGGATGGGCCTGCAATCTTCAACACACAATAGTGAATGAGTGCATAATTTGGCTTTCTAAATGCAGACTCACATTCGTTATCCCAGAGCCAAATAGTTTCTTTCTTCAAGAGCCTCCTCATTGGGGCAGCTATGGAGGATAAATTCCTTACGAATTTCCTATAATAGTTAGTCAGTCCAAGAAAGGAGCGCATGTCAGTTGGGTACAAAACTTTAGACCTTGCGAATTCATACTTCTTAGGATTCAATTTGAAGTTTTCTTCTTTCAATTTTGTGTAGGACCAAACGCAGGTGTTTTTCATGGTCTTCCAGTGTCTTGGTGAAGACCAGGATGTCATCAAGGTACACCACTACGAATTGGTCCAACCATTCTCTAAACAACTCATCCATTCACCTTTGGAAGGTAGCTCATTCATTGATCTTTGGAAGGTAGTAAGTGCGTTAGTCAACCCAAACGGCATCACTATGAACTCAATGTCCATACCTGGTTCTGAAGGTCGTCTTGTGTTGATCTTCCGGGGTTACCTCAATCTGATGGTAGTCGGACTTCAAATCAATTTTGCTGAAGTACATGCATCCTTGAGGTTGGTCAAGAAGATCATCAATCTGAAGGGCAGGTTCAACATTTCTAACAGTGATCGCATACAACCCCCGATAATCAATACAAAGTTGTAACTCACCTTCCTTTTAGGGAACAAACAAAATGGGAGCCTCATAAGGAGAAAAGCTAGGTTTAATCCATCCCTTGTTAGTTAGTGCCTGCAATTGCTTTCTCAACTTATCAAGTTCCTTCGAGAACATACGATAGATTTCAAGTTCCTTCGGGAACATACGATAGATTTCAGAGAACAATCTCAATGGTATGTTTTATCTTTCTTTCAGTTACCCCCGTTGGTTCAATTTGCAGGTCATATTCTTCAAGTAAATTTTCAATAGAAGCAGGGTACCGGGAATAACTTTCACCGACAATTTTTACCAATACCATCATCGCCTCCTGGGCTTTCTTTACAACCATGGATCGAAATGGGGGGAGACTCGTACAACAGAAACACAATGTAAAGTTTGAACCTGATTTGTGGTACGATTTAATCAATTTCAATTCATGATTCTCATTCTTGATGTTCACAAGTTTTTCCTTATATTTGATCTCAGGGTCTTCTTCCTCATGCCAATCCATTCCCAAGATCATATCAAAAGGGAGATTTTTTTCAATCAATAATGTTACTCCATGCAGGATACACTTACCTTCTTGTGTCCTGAAGTAACACTCTACGTTTTCCACACATTGGGAAACCGTGATGGTACTCTGATCTGCCAACATGGAAACAATAGGCTTTGCTAGACTCTTCACTCACATACTCAAGTGCATTTTCTTTACAGCACCTTCGGATATATAGGATCGAGTCGAGCCTGGGTCTAACAGAGCACCCGTTTGAGTTCTTGCAATCTCTATATCTGCAAGCATCAACTCACCCTTAGACTTCACCTTCTTAGCCCATGAGCTTTGTAAGTTATGTTCAGTGCCAAGCTCATGAGCTTTGTAAGTAATGTTCAGTGCCAAGCTCATGAGCTTTGTAAGTTATGTTCAGTGCCAAGCTCATGAGCTTTGTAAGTTATGTTCAGTGCCAAGCTCATCAAGGGTCTCACTCAGAGGAACTCTGCACAGCACAGGTTTCAGAGCGTTCTGACTGAGGGGCCAAGGAAGAGGCATCCTCTGCCATAGAAGTTGAAGGGTGGAGAGGGGCTTTCGGCACCGGGTTTGCATCTGCACCTTTCGGCTCAATAGGAGCAGATGGTACTCCTACTGGTTGTGCTCCCTTTCAAGTTCCTAATCAGAGGGCACCATGCAATAATATGCCATGCAGCGCCGCACTTCAGGCACTAATGGTTGTCCATCCTTTTCTGCCATGTGTCCTGGGAAAAATGCCAATTTTCTCCCATGGCCTCCCAACATCTATACTAGGATGAGCTAGAAAGGAATGCGGCCTCCTCCTATATCCATTTCCATTTCTGTTGTTGCCACCCTTGCTAACAATTGCGGCGGTGACATCACCCTTTCCTGATTCCCTGCCTGTACTCTCCTCATCGTCAAAAACGACAAGGGTGAGGTCTTGTCGTTTCTGCCTCCATAGGAGCCTTTTCCCTTGTCCACCCCCTTGCTTAGACTTGGTAACCCCAGCATAGGCATTATTTACCTGCGACATTGTTTGTTCTCGTTGCAAAGCAAGACCCTGAAATTGCCTATACGTATACTTACCCGATTTCGACTCGGCAACCAGTTGTCCTCGAATAGGTTCAGGGACAGCTCGCGAGTAAATGCAGAGGACCTCATCATTATGGATGTTCAATCCTGGTACCTGCATCAGACGATCCACTTCACGAGAGAGAGCATCAACAGATGCCAAATGTCGCTGGTTGATGGCAGTAAGTTGGTCAATCGCCTTGTCTGCTGTGATCTTATCTAGGAATTTTTCTTTCATCTTCTTCATAAATTCCCTCAAATTCAGAGTCTTCGCCCAATCCCCAATAAACTCAAATCATGCGGACTCCGGTTCCGACAGTACCCATGCCTTAACGTCTTCGCCAAGACATGAGGTGGTCAACGCCACCTGGCTATCTTCGTCTACCGGAGTCGTAAGAGCAGTAGGTCTGGACTTCAGC